CTCTCCCTCTCCTCTCTCTCTTTTGTAGAACTAAAGATACCTCTGATAAGAAAATTATACTGAACAATTTGATAAATGAATTGGGCATGAGGAATAACAAAGAGAGTAAACAAAAATAAGCTTAAGGATTCATTCCTGTAAGATACATTACAAAAGTAACCAAATTGAGCCTCATGGTTTTAATGATGCTTGTTATTCAATTCTTTGAACACTGAAGTTTTTCTTCAAGTTTTTTATTAGCCTCATGAATATTCATTAAGAAGCTATGATGCTCAAGGTTAATTTTGGCCCCAGTCATATAGGCACAGGCATGTGTTCCTGCACACATATGCATGCACATATAAATACATCACATTCACATGCACATGTGTGTGTTCACATACACATCCTAAATTTTCTTGGCTGTGTTCACTAATTTTAATAGCCTTCTAATCAAAAACATAGTTTAGAAGCTAGAGGGACAGCTCAGCATTAAGAGCATGCATTGCTCTTTCAGAGAACCTGAGTTCGGCTCATTGTATCCATGTCGGACCATTCACAACCCCCTGTAACTCCACTTCCAGAGAGATCTGGAATGGACAATGCATGGTGAAGTGTAGAAAACAATGCATAACACAATCATCCTTAGGTTGGTAGCTAAGAAGCACATGGAACTTATTTCTCACATGAAGTCTTATCAGGAAGCATCATTATTTGTTACCTAACTCCCTCCATTTTCAAAGACATGGACAAGCAATTTTTTTTTAATACTAGCAGTACCCTCTTAGCAATGAAAAAGGCTAATATCTCAGAAACATTTTCTACTAGTTGACAGATACTTCCCTTGCTTCATTTGTTTGGAAGTCTGGATGTCAAATGCACACAAGCACACACACACACACACACACACACACACACACACACACACACATACAAACACACACACATACATACACACACATGTATGTATGTGTGCACACACACAAGCACACACACAGAGTTAAAAAATTAAAATAAATATTTTTTTAAAACATGTAAATTCTGTTAACCTTTTTCAGCTCATCTGACAGTGTTCGAAGCAGGAATCAAAAGATCATTTTGAATATGATGACACCCTTACAAAAATATAAAATAATTTTTAAAAATAAAATATATGAGAAAAAATGATGAAAATAAGTTGGCAATCTATTTTCAAAATGAATGTAACTCTGGAAAAAATGCATGTTTTTAAGTCTATGGTGAAGAAGATGCTATCTTGTTAGACCCTAATGATCAAATCTCAGGAACATACCAGATAATTCTTGCTGAGAGAACTGTGTTCAAAAGTCAGACATGTTTCTGAAAAATGTGTGCTTTCAAAAAATTTTTTTCAGAGAAAAGCAAAGCTTTGAAGACTAGCTGAGATTCTCTAAGGTCATACTTGGATGTCTAGTGCATGGAACTGAAACTCAACTTGAAATCTCAAAATGAAGTCACTGCCCCTCACAGCAAGAGACTCAAAGGACACCATTCGGCAGGGACACACCTGATTCCCCCAAAGGCAGACTAGGAATAAACAGAAGTACTAAAAAAAATTCAATCCTCAAAGTGGGTAATAAATAAAAGTATCCCCTAAAACAATGAAGAAAACCCACTAGCTGTATTGAGAGCTTTAAAAAAATGTTTTAAGTCCATGATATGGAAAGTTATTTTTCAGTAAGATTAGTTGTATACATACTTTGGAGGGATGTTAGATAAATAAGTCTGTAAGCAACTGAATATGCTGAAAACCCATGGTCATTTACTCTCAATCTCAAAGGCCTTCTGCTTTTGTGTATTTGTGAGGACTGAAATTGTCTTTAATGTGTTATGTCCCGAAGCATACACACTCTTTCTGAGAAAGGAGTACAAAGGAGAGAGCTAAATCTTCATGTGGTATAATAACACTAAATCCAGTGGGGCAGAGTGAGAAACCAGAAGGATGCCACATCCAGATGTGAGAAGTCAGGACATGTAGCCTGGGAAGCAGAAGCTACTGTAAGAAAGGACAGTTAGAAAATAGCCAGGTGAAGAAACCATAATGAGCATGGGAACAGAGTATGGCATGGGAAAACTCAAAAGTAAGTGGACAGAAGAATTGATAGAAGAAAAGGAAGTCAACATTTCCAAAGGATTGATGAGAATGGTCTTCTGTTAGACTAGCAATCATGTGTTTTTGCAGATTTTTTTTCAAACTGTGAAGTCTATCATGTTTGTATTGATAAAAATGCAATGAATATTTTTTAGTACTGGAACTTTTTAGATTAAATTTAACATGAAAACAGACAGGGGAGTCAACCTGAAAAGTTTGATCTAGGGGAAAAAAAGCAATAAGGCATGACATGAGAAAGAAGAAACCATGAATGAGTGGATGAGTTAATTAAAGACAAAGTTAAGTGAAGAAGAAGAAGAAGAAGAAGAAGAAGAAGAAGAAGAAGAAGAAGAAGAAGAAGAAGAAGAAGAAGAAGAAGAAGAAGAAGA